AGACGGAGAGGGAGAGGGAGAGGTGGCTGCCAAGGGCGTCTACAAGCCGCCGAAGCTTCTGGCTGTCGAGTACACGGGCGACCACGTACGTGCAGTGCACACACACAGCATAAGCACGCAGTGGCTGACTATTGTCCACCTCTCATGTGCCATGGCTAGCTGCCAAGGCGCATCGCGAGGCGGAGAGGCAGAGGGAGACTGTGGCTATTCTACGAGACCGCTAGACGGGGAGGGAGGTCGTCCTCGTCGGCACAGCACATATCTCGACCGTCAGGTGCCTGCCTACACCCACCCACTCGATCAGCTCGGCCTCATACCTGTCTGTCTGTCTGTCTGTCTGTGATCCGTTCGTGTGTCAGTGCCAATCTGGTCAAGAGCATTATCGATGAGACGAGGCCGACGGCTGTGTTCATCGAGCTTGACAAGAGCAGGTTCCGACTGCCAGACGGCAACGACGCCGCCCCACAAGTCGGGGTGAGCATCGATTGACACACAGACAGACAGACAGACATGAATGATGTGTGCGCTCGGCAAAGACTCAGCAGCATCAGGCAGTGGGTGGGACGCAGGAGCCATGACAGATCTCGACGAGGGCGGCTCGGACAGGGTCGTATCCATCATCTTTTGCGCAAAGAGGAAAGGAAGGCGAAAGGAATTAATTAGTAGGTTGTCGTAAATTTTAGTAGGTTGTCCGTAAATTTTAGGGTTGCAGAAAGACTACTTTGTAGTAAACAGAGGGGCGGAAATGGTCCTCTGCGAGTTCCGGCTCCTCTGCGTGTTCGCCATCGCCGTTTGGCCCTGCCTTTGTTCTCCCCTGGCATCTCTGCGGCTGACGCGTCTGCTCACATCTCTGCGGAATCGTGTGTCGGCGGAGTGGATCAGAGAAGGGACTTTGTTTGAGCAGTTCGCAGCATTCTGCAGACAAGGTGGGCAAACAAGATGGATGCACGGCCGTCAGAGCCCGTGTCTGTTGGCCTCAGGTGAGGGCGATGCAGACAAGCGGGATCTGCTAGGCAAAGTTTGCCGCCTGAAGTCTCTCGAGTGGGACAGGCGGCAGACGCTACGCAGCCACGAAATGAACGTCATCAACGTGGCCATCGCAGTGATGGTACGAGAACGAATGCTACGCACATAGATGCACGGTGGCAGCTGGTGTGTGCAGCAATCGGACAAGCTGGATGCGGCTCTCAAGGACGACAGTGTGCTGGCCCTCCGGCGAGACTCGCAACGGGGCATCGAGGTGCGATCATCATGGCAGCTATCCTTATGCACACTCTACCGCTTCATTACACCATTGATGGCCGGCGTGGCTTGCCTCAGGCTTGGCAACACAGCCACGAGGGCCTTGTGGCGCTGCTCGCCGACCATGCACGTGAAGAAAAATTCAGTGAGGGCCCCTGGGCAGAGAAGGCGAAAGATAATGCTACTTTGGCGCGTATGCTCTGTGTCAGGAGGCGGGAAGCATTCAATGCCCAGCAAACGGGACCGAAGGAAGAGGGAGGAGGACATACCGGACGTCACATATGTGCCGCACCTGACGACTCCGTGGCCTTCATCACCAGCAGACAGCCAGGCCGACCTCTCCACCAACCGCACATACCTATGCAAGGTGAGAAGGTGGTTGGTAGAACGAGAGAAGGGATGGAGCGCTGGGGAACGAGAGACTCTCTCTGTTCTGCCCCATGTCACACGCTCTCACCGTTGCTTACAGCTCGACCGCGCTAAAGCGGAGAGGGATCTTTCCCATCTGTCGAAACGCATCAATGTACGAAGACCATACACGGCAGCAGAGGAGTGCAGCATCTTGTCTGGGTCTCTGTCGGCATCTTTCACACAGGACACTACCATAGAGAGGGCTAACCTAACGACACTTACCTCCAACCTGACAGAGGCGGCCGGGGCAGCCAGGGCAAAGCTGCGACGGCTCAAGGACGTACGCCAACGATGTGGCTCCCCTTTCACTTACGCGTCCACTTGCAGATCTTTGAGCGCTGGGAGGCCAACTATGTGGAGCAGAGGTCTGCACTGCGCACACGCAAGAGCATTCAGGTAAGCCAGCAGGGAGGAATCTTCCTACCTCCCACGGTGTTGTGTTGTCCGTGTGTCATTAGTCATTGGGACGGCAGGCGCTAGAGGCGGTCGGGAGTCTCCTTGGTCTCTTCTACGCCAGACGGACGTCCGTCGAGACGGGCGAAAGGGCAATCGATAATGTCAACCTCACACAAGTCAGCCGTAGATACAGACAGGACAGGCAGCAACGGACAGACAGACAGAACAGCCGAATACAGCTCCACTAATGTGTTGTCCTCTCTGCAGCGTTTCGTGTCTGCGTACCCAGATGCGCCAGACCCAGGGTGGCACTCGGGAGGCTTCCTGATCTACCAGCATGACAAAGCCCAGTCGCTCGCTGACCTGCTGAGTCTGTGGGCGTCATACGTGCAGCTTATCGTCGACCAGCTCGACGACACGCAGCAGAAGGTGTCCCAGGAGTACCAGAGCATCAAGGCCGAAAGCATTGCCGCACAGAGGCAGACGGAGGTGCAGGTAGGTAGGTAGGCGGGCGACAGGCTGCCGTGGGTGCATTGCATTGGGGGTGCAGACATGTGCACGGATGTGTGCAGCTGAGAGACATGGCGGAGGAAATACGGGAGAAGCAAGAGGAGACTGCTCACATTGAGGTCAGCCATCACTTGTCGCCCCCAATGTGCATCGATCTATCGCATTGGGTGTGGACGCGTTTGCGTGATCGCAGGGCGAATTACGTGAGCTGCAGACAGAGCAGCAGGCCGTCGGCGACGGCCTGATTCGCATCATACTCGTACGGCAATGGAAAGAGCCTGCATCATTTGCATGTGTTCTTGTGAGTTAACACACAAGCCTGTGTGTCCCGGTGGCAGGAATGCGGTGATGTTTTTCCCGAGGAGGCCGCCCGAGTGGCTGCTGCCGGCAGAGGGCCGTCCGACGGTCCATTTCCGCAGCAACCGCGTGCAGACACGGATGAGCCGGGCAGCGAGGCAGGAGGTGTAGAGATCATCCACAATGTCGATGCGCTGTGACGCTCCCTCCATGGACCCCGCATTGACGGATGAAGGCTTTGGTGCTTTGGAATGAGCTGTGTTGTCGGCTAGAGTGGCTTCGATCAAAAGCTTGAAGAAACCGTGTTTATATACGCAAAGGACGACGAGAGTGTTGTCCGTCTTGATCGTGTCTCGTGCGAAATAGCTGGAGTGCGGGCATCCACTCAGTGCAGCCATCCATCGGTGCGGACAAAAGACACACATGACACTGACCACACAGGCGCTCTCTCAAACACAAACCAGGGGACAAGACACACATACAGCGTCCAGCAACCAGCACCCCACCATACGCGCAGCCCACAGTGAGGCGTCGGCTAGCTGATAATATGCTCTGGCCAGCACGAGCGTGTGGCAGGAGTGGCGATAGCGCCGCCATTTCCCGAACTTTGGCGCTCAGCTTATTGAGTATGTAACCCATTCCCACGTGGCATAAGTGATCGAGGAGAGGCAAAGGAGGACGAGAAGGACACAATGGCGCCCCTCTCTGCCCACCATCCTTGTCTCATCTCTGCCACATAAATGTGTCCCAATCATTTCGCTGCAGCTACCGGGAAGGCCAACATTCAGCACACGAACACATGGACGGTGTCACTGTTCAGTCAGCTGACATACGGATTGCCTCCTCGGGTCGAGTCTCACGGTCGATCGTGTCACACCCGGGAAGGCAGCGAACAAGCAGACACGCAGAGAGGGAGAGGGGTACGATTACCACACACACAGATAAACATACATGTATTTCCATGCACATGTGAGCCACAACAAGAGATGGACACACCGCCTGTGTGGTCGCCTTCACCCGTCCCTCATGTGTGTATGTGTGGATGTGTATCAGCCAGCACTGCGGTACGCACGTACACACACAGACACTCAGACAGTCAGACAGTCAGCCAGTCAGCATGGCACACACAAAATTCCAATCCGCTGGCCGGCACAAAAAGCAGCTTGCCCCCCACATGTACACATCGCCAGCCTCACAGCCCATAGCCACTCAGTCGCTCAATCAAACAGTCCCTCCCTCCCTCCCTCCCACCTGTCCCTGCCTGTGTCTGTGTGTAGGTGTGGATGGATGGATGGATGGACGTCATCACTGCGGTACGCACACATACGTCCACACATGCCATGAGACGACACACACAGTCAGTCAGAGAGGCGAAAGATAAGAGGGCAAGGCAGCCCTCATCAATCTGTGCGCACCCCAACATGCAGCGGGCAGGTATGAATGCGCATGCCTGATAAGGCAACACATAAAGAAGCACACACGTGCCGCAGGGTATGCACGGACCTAAGACACTAAGGGCAGGCTCCTACACATTTCAGTTGAAAAGCCACACAGAATAGAGCCCTACACCGTCCCCACTCGTCCATCCAATCTCGGTCATCCATCAGTGACGCAGACCTACTACACATATAGCCCACTCATCGACAACACTTCCTGACCACCAGATGGTCCCTCTTGGCCTCAAGAGCCACCCTGACTGCTGTCAGCTTGTCTCGGCCGGCCAGACTTGGAGGGGCCCCATCCAAAGCTCAGCCGGCACCTTTTTCTGTTGCGCATGTGACTCATCCGGACGGTGCCATGGAGAGACGGCATTTCGTTCCTGGCGATGAGCGGGAGTGCAGCGATGATGGCCGTCACCGTCGCCTTCGCGAGTCCATGCAGCTGAGGCCCGCCCTCCTCGTTGTCACGCGTGCTGGCCGACGGCACACACCTGCCGCACCCGCCATTGACCAGGTGCTGCCGTCTGAGCTGGAGAGCACCGAGCAGCGCAGCGCCTCCATGCTGCCAGTGTCGTAGGGGGCTGTCCTGGCGTGAAGCGAATCCTACACTCTCGGCCGTGCACCGTGTGCTTCATGGTCTGCAGGCACACAAAGCACAATACGACTGGTGGGTCAGTTCTGGAGGCATGTACGTCATGTGTTTCCTTCCGTACCCATGACGACCCAAACGGCCTAACGCCATGTCACGTCCTTCATGCAACTGACGACCTCCTTGATGCAGCTGACGCACATGGACACCATCCATCCATCCATCCCAAGAGGCCACCCAGTGAGGCCGCCCCGCCACCAGTCAGCAAAGGGGCGACGACAACGCTCCGAGAGCGCCTGGTGAAGCGGCGGCGGCAGGCACCTCACCAGACAGACAAACCTGCCCGTCCGTCGATGTCTGTCGCTGCACCGCTCACAGCGCTCTGCTCGGCCGCCTCATGGACGCACTCACTCCCACGTCGGCTGGACTGCGCCACGTGTCCACGACCAAGGCTGAACACATAACAAGGGAGAAACGGCAATGAGTTATCAGCAGTGCCATCCCCTTCTGGCACCGCACCCAGGCGGCTCACCGCACATCAGACCTGCCAGATGACCCTCCTCGTTCACTCAGTCATGCCCTCGTGTCATCCTCGGCCGCTGACAAACAGACAGAGAGGGAAGGACACCTGCAGTCCGACCAGATCTCATCGTCGCCCATCAGCAGTCTGTCTGCGCTGCTCTCTCTCTCTTTCGGTCACCTGGTTGGCCTCTGATTCCTTAGGACCCCCGACAAAACGCATTTAAGCGCCAGATCACCGCTCCCCTCGGCAGATCGTCCGTCACATTCAATTTCTGAGCTCCCGGCCCCATCCAACGCACTTGGCCCCATCACCCCTTTCCTCCCCTCCCCGATCGCAGCGGTTTCAGGGAGCACCCTAGGTGGCCTGACGGCCAAGTCCCCTGTCGGTCTGTCCAACATGAAACAGGCACCCTAACATGCAACCCGGACACGAAACACGCAGCACGCAGAGGGCAGATGCAGCAGACAGGAGGATATGCAATGCGCTGCGAACGACGGCCACATACAAGCAGGCACACAGCGTCGCACACACGCCACCCCAGCAGCAGCTTGAAGGCGGCGTGCGTGCGTGCGTCAGGCACCATGACTCCATACGTAGATACCGCCCATCCCCAGGTGGCCAGCCAGTGCAGATCGCCCAGTCACACACAAACACGCCCTTATAACAACCACGCACGGAGTGCTGGGGGTGCATGAGAGCGCACCGCCGCCCTCTCCAGGGCCGAGAGGGGCGGCAGGTGGCCGACCCGCAGACACCCCCAGTGCACGTCCATACACATATCACCGCCGGGATAAGTAGGAGCGCGGCAAGACACACACACAGACCACGCCCACATCCACACGCACACCCC